GTATTGAGTGGTTCTGTACAGATAAATGCATCGTTGCAGCCCTACTGTAAACCAGCTCGGTTCTGGTAGGAACTGGACTTGGAGGCAGGTGATGTCCTGTGGTGACCTCTGACAAAGAAATGGCCAAAACACAGAGGAGAGAAAAAACTGGTCCAAATCTTCCAGTCTTTATTTCTAAGATGAACTCCAGCAGATTAAATCCTAACCGTGGGGCTGCTGCAGTGGTGGCCAACAAAATAATGTACACAGACCAGAATAGTTCTGCGAGCTGTGCACATCGAAGCAGAAACAATTTTAAACAACTGGCTGCAAGAACTGCTTTTTCTTTGGTCACAAACAGAACTCAACACGACTGCTACAGAAACATTTCCTCCTAATTTTGAGTTGTGAGAACTCAGAACCTTTACTGCCTGAGAGCCGTGAACGTATTTCCTGAAGATATTCATGAAAATCAACAAACCCTGCCAGCAGACCTTTGTCCAACAGCAAAGTGTCAAATTTAAAACTGTYGTTCTAAAAACAGAAAGATCTCTAAAGAAAACCTGCCTCAGACTCAGTCCTGCTCCAGGTTCAGATCAAATACTTTGTTCTGTTCTGGACCTTCAAGCTTTAAACTACAGGAGAGGCTTTGTTTACATCAATCCCCCTGTATTCTTGGACATGCACATTATTATTATTTCTCCACATCGTCCCTAGCTTGGCACATTTGTGATTCAGTCTACTGGAGTAATAATAAATAATCTTGTGGTTTTAGAGCTGGACATTCAGAGCTTCACCTCTGATATTATCTATCAGATTCTCCTGCAGGAATCATAATTTTCAACCTGTTTTCCTCTGAAATGACGGAACCGTAGCTGAGAAGGATCAGAAACAACTCTGTCCAGGTTGTGAGTTAGATTTAAACATGTCATTAATTCAAGTGACAACCTTCTGAGACCCACAGAAGAAGCCCTGCAGAGGTTGGGGGCACTTTGGGGACCCGGTCGGCAGCGACAGACCCTCAGACCACCTTCAGCTCTGCTTCCCTGCTTTTCCTCGACACCTTCGCAAACAGAGGAGTGAAAGAAGAGAAAAGCTGTTCTCAGCAGCAGCTCTGCTATATAAAAACTCAAAGCCTTCAGTTGCAGGTGTGACCAAGAAACAAAAGGCCTTTGGGAAACTCCAAACAATGGAGCCCCACCCCCGACCACTTTGGATGTTTTCGGGGTCCTAAAGGCGATAAAAACAGCCAAATGTTTGGAGCTTCTTCCTCCATCTGAAGAATCTGTGGGCAGCAGTTCAACGACACCACCGATGGAGGTCCGCTTTAACAGGACTGTTCAGGAGGTTAACGGTGGTCTATAACGGGACTGTTCAGGAGGTTAACGGTGGTCTATAACAGGACTGTTCAGGAGGTTAACGGTGGTCTTTAACGGGTNTCTGTTCAGGAGGTTAACGGTGGTCTATAACGGGTCTGTTCAGGAGGTTAACGGTGGTCTATAACGGGTCTGTTCAGGAGGTTAACGGTGGTCTATAACAGGACTGTTCAGGAGGTTAACGGTGGTCTTTAACTAGATTGTTCAGGTGGTTCACAGTGGTCTTTAACGGGACTGTTTAGTTGGTTAACGGTGGTCTTTAACGGGACTGTTCAGGAGGTTAATGGTGGTCTTTAAGGGGACTGACTGTTCAGGAGGTTAACGGTGGTCTTTAACTAGACTGTTCAGTTGGTTAACGGTGGTCTTTAACTAGACTGTTCAGGTGGTTAAAGGTGGTCTTTAACGGGTCTGTTCAGGAGGTTAATGGTGGTCTTTAAGGGGACTGTTCAGGTGGTTAATGGTGGTCTTTAACTAGACTGTTCAGATGGTTAATGGTGGTCTTTAACTAGATTGTTCAGGTGGTTAACGGTGGTCTTTAACTAGACTGTTCAGGTGGTTCACAGTGGTCTTTAACTAGACTGTTTAGTTGGTTAACGGTGGTCTTTAACGGGTCTGTTCAGGAGGTTAACGGTGGTCTTTAATGGGTCTGTTCAGGAGGTTAACGGTGGTCTNGGGTCTGTTCAGGAGGTTAACGGTGGTCTTTAAGGGGACTGTTCAGGAGGTTAACGGTGGTCTTTAATGGGTCTGTTCAGGAGGTTAACGGTGGTCTTTAAGGGGACTGTTCAGGTGGTTAACAGTGGTCTTTAACTAGACTGTTAAGGAGATTGACGGCGGTCTTTAACGGGACTGTTCAACTAGACTGTTCAGGAGGTTAGTGGTGGTCTTTCAGGGGACTGTTCAGGAGGTTAGTGGTGGTCTTTCAGGGGACTGTTCAGGAGGTTAGTGGTGGTCTTTCAGGGGACTGTTCAGGAGGTCTTTCTCTCTAACTTCTGACCCTTCAGCAGCTGAAGCGCACTGAGACCCTCGGCCAGCTGTGGTCCAACAGAACGAGGAGCTCCGGTCAGAGTTCTTGTTCCAGTCTGTAATTACAGCTGGAGCTCAGAGTTCAACACATCTGGATTCATTTCTGTCAACAGAGTTGTTGCTCTCTGGATTAAATCAACAAAAATCATCCAATCAAAGCTCCTCAGGTCTGTTTAAAGAAAACAAGAAGTCTTTGAATCATTAATGGCTCCAGGTTTTCTGTTCTACTTGTTTTTSTTTTCATTTAAATTCTCCACGTCCGCTCCTTCCTGCGCGTCATGCTTGAAGCCCGGCTCTAACGCTGGCTTTGTGCGGAGCGGAGCACGAAGCCATTCGAGTTCTGTCCGTGGAAAATCGTTTTGTCCCCCTTCAGTCCACATGCAGGACTCTAACAAAAGACAACAAAGAYGGCAGGGACAGCAGTTCAAAGCTTCTCCTGGAAACACTGCTGCTTTAATGTGGAGCGAGGATTTCAAACTGTCCCTCCTGAGCTGTCAGCTTTCCTTCAGGAGTTCAGCTGTTCCCTGAGAGGAACCAGCAGCTGGAGAACAAACCGCTTCCACTGAAGCACATCTAGTTTCAAATCTGATGTAAAGAAAATGAGCCATGAAGGTCTGGTGAGGACCAGCCTGGAGGACCAGCCTGGAGGACCAGCCTGGAGGACCAGCCTGGAGGACCAGCCTGGAGGACCAGCCTGGAGGACCAGCCTGGAGGACCAGCCCCAGTCAGTCCGACCATCAGCCCTGATAATCCCGCAGATTGGAGCAGAAATATTCCGGAGATTTGAAGCGTTCCTCTTTTCTCCAGATGTTGCAGACAGACCTGCAGCTCCGGTCCGGTCCGAGGAGTGATCTTCAAAGCCCCCCCAACCCTAAAGCCAGCAGCCCYCTCAGCCGCAGAACTTTGAGGACAGGACCTGGACCAACAGGCGGAACCTCCAGCTGCTCCGGAACATTAATCTGACAACTTTACACAATAATCTGATTTATTCCCGACAGCAGCTCAAACACGCTGAGTTTCTGCTCCTGAAGAAACGAGCTTCAGATCCGAAGTAAAAGAATAATCTAATCTAATCTGTAGAAATAATGAGACCCTGATAACCCGGATCGGCTCGGCTCGGTTCGGCTGGGTTCAGATCTGATCTGCAGCAGCAGGAGGAGGTGATCCAGCACTTCTCTGCTCCCACTTTCAGAGTAAAAAGCAGCTCGGCTCGGATCCACGCGGCTGCACGCACTCACCTCATCGGAACCAGCTCCTTCATTAAAATCCAGATTAATCCAACAGAAACCTGCTCCTCGTGCGTCGGAGAACCAACTTCTGCTGGCTGCAGGAAAACAAACTAAAGGCACGGTGGAGGCTGTAATTCGAGCCGTGCCAAGTCAATCCATCCCGTGCTGGAGCTCAGCCAGCCAATCAGAGGCTCTGCCCCCCCCCCCCCATCATCCATCTCTCCTCGGTTGGTTCAGGGCTCTGCCTCCGCTCCTTCCTCCCTTTCTTTCCTAAAGCTGGAGAGAAAGAAAAACAGCCCCTCCCCCTGCTCCCCTCAGCTGTGTGTGTGTGTGTGTGTGTG